AGTTCCCAGAACCACCTCCAGTCTCTACTGGATCATTAGTTCCGTCCTACTGAATCATTAGTTCCCAGAACCACCTCCAGTCTCTGCAGGATCATTAGTTCCCAGAACCACCTCCAGTCTCTACTGAATCATTAGTTCCCAGAACCGGTGTGACAGATCAACTGGTGACAGCAGCTGGAAAACTGCTGATTTTTGCAGATGTGTCTGTGGGCGGGGCTTTTCAGGACCCCTCTCCCCAAACAGGAAGTAAACTGCTGTAAACTCCAAGAACTACAAATTGTGTCATCAGATCGATACGAAATACGTTGAGATGTTAATAAGTTGTCGTCGCAAAGGTATTTAATTGCATTAAGAAAGTATAAAGAATGTTTTAGTGTTTTATCCAAACCTGCAGAGATTAGAAGAACTTTTCCTGCTGTTGTTGATCTGTTTGTTTCAGAGTGATGAGAGAAAGAACCGAGTAGAAGGAAAAACAACTAACGGCGTAATGTTTCCTTTTTTCTGTCTTCCTGTATGGCTTGAAAATTAAAACGAGTGAAAATAAATGTTTCCTCTTTCTGTTCTCAAAAACTGTTAATATGGAGGGAAACTAATTATTTACAGTCCAACTCGTTTCCAGAGGAGTTAGAAATGTCTTTAAAGTTTAATTTGTGTTTCAGGAACAAGGCAGAAAAACAGAACAGCTGCAGGGAAAAGTGAAACCTCTGCAGTCGGTTCATATTGTGTGAATAAATGTGATATTTTGGGCATGGGGACGGTGGGTTAGGGTTATCAACAGCTCGGCAGGTAAAGGGACGCCTTGCAAGGAAATACGAAGTCGGCCGCGGGTTCGAATTCACAGGTAGCTTCATGCCCTCGATTTATTTTAACAGATTTTCCACAGATGGGCGAGATAATATTATTTCCTAACTCTGAAATGACAAACATTTCCTCGCTGGTAGCGTTTTGTGATGAGTGGTTTATTAGTTCTTCTAATTTTACCAGTGAAGCAAACTATTTAGACTAAAAGTAAAAAGTAGACAAAGCAATATTCTAATGCCAGTAACTTAATAAACGTGAATTATTTAAAGTTTTTCTGCTTGCAAACCAAAAAATGTGGCGTCCTGAAAACAATAGAAGGAATAAGATGACAGCTGACTGAACATGGTTACGGTTCATGACGGGTTCATAACTGCAGCAAGAAAAATAATCAATAATAAATAATTTAAAGTAGTCTGCTGCAACCCTAATGGAGGATAAGATGATAACATCCAGAGTGTTTTTCAGCCCATATTCCTCCAGATCCTCCTGGATCACAAGTTAATCTGTGACACGCTGCAGATTCTGACGCTTTCAGATCCTTTATTTGATCCCCGAACTTAAATTACTCATAATATTTCACATTATCCACAGACGTGTGTTGGATAGATATTAGGCCAGGATAAATTAGAACATTTATTCTAACCCATTTGTTTAATTCTGCGGCATTTTGATCAGGCAACCACGCAGCCAACTAATCTCTCCAAACAGCTGTGCTGTGGACCCCGTTTGTCACAAATTAATCTAGTTCATCGTTTAAGAATATCTGCATTTTTCTACAAGAACTAACATCAAGCAGCCATGGCGACTCATAGCCAGCTGCTAACTCTAGGATTTAAATTCTACTGTGAAAACATAAAAAGTTTCCGCATCAACAGGTAGATTCAGATTCTATTCGCTGCTAAGAGCCTAAATAAATACATTTTTGTAGATATGGGGCATTAAAACCAGTTCAGCAGCAGTTCGTTATGCTCTGATAACTGGAGATTAGAAACAGACTGAACTCAATAGAAATAAAAATAAAGGTTTTCCTTAAAGCAGACCTGATAGTTCATCATGCAGGACAGTTTGGGATCCAATAAAAATATCACCGCAGTAGAGACTTGGATTTGTGTCCAAATAGGAGAATAAAGGAAACATGAGCGCAATTAATCTACTAACAAGAAAATAACTTTTTGTCACAATTAGAAAAATAAAGTGTGGTTAGTTGGAAGGAGGAGAATCCAGATTGTTCAGTTTTTCCTGAAAAGTTGCTGCTTAAAGCTAGTGTGTAATTTTCAGCGACATCAAGCAGTCAGACTGCAGACCGCAGCAACATGAACGTCTCCCCCCCACCAGTACGGCGAGCGTTACGGGACAAAATGTCTTCCACGACGTCCGCATCACCTACCTTCTCAAGTGATGAGGTTTGTTTACATAGATAA